TTTTCTATTCATTTGTTTATTTTATTTTTTTTGTCTTCTCCACTAAGACATAGCTCTGTGAGGACAGGAAGCACATCTATCTTGGTTATCATTTTATTTCTAACATATAGCACAGATAGTATTTGAAAGCTGGGGCACAGAAGAACAAGTAGTGCCTGACTTTGCAGAACAAGTGAGCTGAAGTCTAAAGCAGCAGCATGGAAAGCTGAGAAGAAACCTAATTTACCCTGCAGATTTCCCCAATGGCTCAGGAATTGGCAGACTAAGTAACTCTGGAAGTGAGGGGTGGGGGTGGGGGGTGGAAACAGGAAGGTTGGTTGAAAATCTTGAAGAAGCATTTGGACCACATCCCTCCCCATTCCATTAAGGAGGGGACTGAAATTTCCTCGCACAAGGAGATCGGAGTTTATCTTTGCTCCTGCTGCTTTGGTTCTTTGGGTTTGTACTTTCCCCCATTTTTAAAATGAATTGATTGCTATTTGAGAGGACACAAGATGAAGACCATTCCTCCCTGTGTGTGGCTGCCTCCTTTTTCATTTTTTACATTTCAGCTTAAATACCTCCTTAGAAAAGGTTTCTGTACTATTCTATCTAGAATAGATCCCCTCCCACCCCCCTGACTTTTTCCTCACTAGCTGAGTCCTCTCTGGTGTAACTGATTTATTGAACACAGGGAACTCATAGGACAATATCAAAAGAAGCATTTTTTTTTACCACTACTATTTCTTTAAGTGTGACCTGTGAAATGTGTATGTGTGTGTGTGTGTGTCCTGTGTACCTTCCTCTATACAGAAGTAAACTCTTAGGCAGTTCCCATGACATTTATAGTTGTTCAAAGGACTTAGAAAATTCCACAGTAACTTTCAGTCATAAACACAGTCTCAATGAAATATTGCCTAGCTTCAGGAAATAAAAGTGTTCATCCTGCATACCCATCCGTTTTCTCCCTTCCCTCCCGCTGACACTTGCTAGCCGACCACTTGCAGGAGAAGAGTAAGGAGTGCTCCTCTTGCTCGCCTTCCCAGTCTATCATTCCTCTTCTTCCTCCTCCCTTGCTTGCTACCCAGAGATTTCTAAATCTGTTATGGCAAAGGCAGGGGTGAGAAGAGAGGGAATGAGGATAGAAAGCTCTTACTTGGCTGGTGCTGCTGTAAGATGGTCTCATTCTCTCTGGGCTTGACAGTTTAGAGCTTCCTCTTCCCCTGAAGGTTCTTCATTCATGGAAGCCTTGAGTGCCTGGCTTCAAGTTATCCTCTCACCCGAGGCCTCCCACCACCCTGCAATGCACTTAAACCAGCGGTTCTCAACCTGTGGGTCACAACCCCTTTGGCGGTCGAACGACCCTTTCACAGGGGTCGCCTAAGACCATCCTGCATATCAGATATTTACATTACGATTCATAGCAGTACCAACATTACAGTTATGAAGTAGCAACGAAAATAATTTTATGGTTGGGGGTCACAACATGAGGAACTGTATTTAAAGGGCCAGGAGGTTGAGACCCACTGACTTAAACTCTATCAGTGTTTTGGCTTCTGGGTTTTCTGACTTGCTTAACAAGACTTCCCTAGCCTGAAAGTCATAAGAATATTTCTATATATTTTGTAATGTGCTTTATTTGTTACATTTAGATATTTAATACCGTTTCAATGTTATTTTTATGTATGGTATGTGGTAGACACCTACTCTATTTTCTCACAAATGGAAAGGTGATTTTCATAACCCCATTTATTTTTTTCTCCATGGAATTATAATTCTACATTTATCATACAACCAGTTCTAGTACATACTTGTTTGTTAGGTTGCTAGGGCTGCCATAACAAAGTATCACAGACTGGGTGTCTTAACAACAGAACTTTATTTCCTCAGTTCTGGAGGCTGAAAGTCCAGGACCAAGGTGTCAACAGGGTTGATTTATTTTGAGGCCTCTCTCTTTGGCTGGTAGATGGCCATCTTTCCCTGTAGCTTGATGTGGACTTTCCCCTGTGATCTTTTATAAGGGTACCAGTCATGTTGGATTAGGGCCTATCCTAAGATTTCATTATAGCTTAACTACCTATTTAAAGACCTTATCTCTAAATACATTCTGAGGGGTGGGGTTAGGACTTCCACATATGAATTGGAGCGGGGGAGGGAGCACAATGTAGGCCATAGAAAACGTAGATCTGTTTTAAGAATTTTTCCATTCCAGTGTTACCATCACAGCTACAAACATATAGAGTACTTGGAAGACAATCTACTATTCAGAAATTAACGTTCTTTTTTTAAATTTTTATCTTTATTGTTGAAAGTATTACAGATGTCCTCACTTCCTTACATTGATCCCCCTTACCCCGCCACCATCCCCACGAAGACCTTCACTGCACTATTGTCTGTGTCCATGGGTTATGCATATAAGTTCTTTGGTTAATCTCTTCCCGCCCATCCACCCCTTTCCCTCTAAGATTCATCAGTAGTTCAGGTGTTAGATTCTTTGTAAAACTTTTTCCAGTCTCTTCTTTTTCCCAGAAACAGATTATCTCCCATTGTATTTTATTTGAACCTCCATTATAACAATAGTCCCTTTATAAAGATCAACTTCTAGCTTCAATTTAGATCACAAGCCCATAGGGCTCAAATAATTAATGTTTTTAAAATGTTAATTATTCATATTTGACATTATTAACAGCAGTCTGATAATGACTTATGATGCGTCAAACACTGTTCTGTGAGTTTCACTTGCAGTATCTTCTAAGTACCTTGTAAAGTAGGAATAAGGCTCAAAAAAATTAAGTTGCCCGCCTGAGGACACATAGCATGTAAGTCGGTTACTTACAATTTCAACCCAGTTCTATTTAACTCCAAATCCCAAACTCTTAAGGAAAGCACTGCCTCTATAGCTATTTTATACCCCCCTCCATCTCCAAGCAGAAGGCCTGGTGCACAGTAGGCACCTAGTATATGTGCTTATAAAAGGAACTAAGCTGAAGAGCATGCCAGTCAACACTTACGTTGTCATCCTTTCTATTTAAAGTCCTGTGACAAGGGAGCTATTTTAGGTCTGGATTACGGTGGTTGAAGTAACAGATATGTGATCAGGGTCCTCCCCATCCCCATAGTACATGGGGCCTGTGCTTCCAAATGATGACTGTCATCTTTTCCTTCTGATGCCCTCCCAGTCTTTAATGTAACTCTTGGGCTCAAACCAATTCCATTACAGCTATTTACTTGATGCTACCATTTCTCAGTGTGGCAATTTAATGCCATAAAAATTTTTTATTTAAAGATCATAAATAAAACAACTTTGTGAAAGAGAGTAGCACATAGTCAACTAATGCTACTTATAACAGTTATCACTGGAGAATTTATGCAGTGTTCACCTATGAGCAGTGTACTGTATACCAACGTATATGATTTGGTGGCTTAGTCAGCTTGGATACTATAACAAAATATCATAAACTAGGTGGCTTAAAAGACAGAAATTTATTTTCTCACAGTTTTGGAGGTTGGGAAATCCAAGATCAAGGAGCCAGAAAAATTGGTTTCTGGTAAGGACTCCCTTCCAGGCGTGTAGACAGCCAACTTCTCACTATGTCCTCATATGGCCTTTCCCTGGTGGATACGCACAAAGACAGAAAGAGGAGAGAGAGATTGAGAGTGCTCTGATGTCTCTTCTAAAAGGACACTAATCCTATTGGATTAGGGCCCTACTCTTAAGACCTCATTGAGCCTTAATACTTTCTTAGAGGCCCCTTCTTGTGGATATGGGTTCAGCATATGAACTTGGGGGAGGAGAAGGGACATAAACATTCAATTCAGCCTGTAACAATGGGTCAAGTTGACTTAGGATGGAAATAGAGAGTAGACATGTGAAGATCTTAGCACATTTTGAGGCTCAATAAGTGTAACTAGAACAATACTTCTTTGCACCTAAATTGTTTTGTCTTTCCTATATGTGAGAACTCACATCTCTATAAAATTTTGAAAAACATTGCCTACTCAGAATTTATTTATAAATGCTTGAGTTTCCTAGATGAAAGATCTCTGTTATTCAATGGTGTAAAAACTTCATCAAAATGAATAAAATGTAATTCTCATCCTAATCCACAGCTGCTTTATTTAAAAGTTTTATTTATTTTTAAGTTACTTCCTTGGACTATACCTTCCTTCCTTAACTTTAGTGTTCTCTTTCCTTCCTTAATATTAGTGTTCAGACAGATATAACTCTATCTCCCCAGAGGCTTTTGTTTATAGTTATAAAATTTTTATTGCTACAGATTTTCCTTTAGCTCTTCATGATTTTTCTTGCTTCAAGGTTCTGTCTAGATCTGACATCCTATGATTCTGAGATGCGCCATGATGGAAGCAATGTTTTAAACTCTAGGTTTGTCAAGCTCAAAAAGCTTATAAGGTCAAAGAGGCAAGAATGGCAACAGAAGTACTGTTATTGCTACTGTTCTGTAGAATTGTAAAAGTCGCTCAAAATGACAGCATGGGTTGAGTCCTCTTACTTCATGTAGCTGTAAATTCATAAACAAGTGGTTTTCTAAGACCATGTCAAGGTGTTTCTCTTTTCTAAGAATTTCCCTCCCAAGTTTCTGTGATGGCTTTCTACCAGGTGTATCTTAAAACTGACTTTTCCTCCCCTTAACAGCAAGTGCTCAACTCTCAGCTTCCAGCTACATTGTTTCTTACAACTGTATCCTTATTAGGAGCTTAACTCTTTTTGTTTTCCTAAGGGCAGCCTCATAACCGGTCCCTTCAGCTTAACATTGCCAGAGCTGCTCCATTCCCTTCTGTGACTGGGTTTCTTGCTATTGGTGGAGGTGACTATAGTAAGGACTACCATTTGAAATTTAATATGTATCTAACTGGCTATAACATTTGAGTGAAGAATTTCATTTTACTAGCTTTAAACATGTAAAAGATAAAGAACACATTTAGAAACAATTTTACAGGACAACAGCTTTTCAGAATTGTCCTAACTTAGATTCTCTCTCCCTCTCTATTCCCAAATGCAGAGTTCACCTTGTCTCTAGAAGAAGAGAGGTTGCTGGTGACAGAAGTCATGATCTGTCTTCCCTTCTGAAGACACAACCAGCTCCACGAGATCACCAAGCAAGATTTAACACGTTCATGCCTCGGAACCACAATTCCTGATTAGAGCCACAAGAAGAAGAAGAAGGTACCTATCCCATCCCCCCCTCCAGGCAAAGTGTGCCAGCTATTAAGTAATTGTCTCTCAACTCCATCCACATTATTCTGTGCTCCACTTAGTGATGCTGGGATTCTATAAACCACTCTTCTTCCTCTTAGGCAGCTGCTCCCCATGAGGCTTTGCCAAAGGAGAGTGAATGCAAGTTTGAAGGAATAAAAAGGGATTTGCTCCTTTCGGTTTTGCGTCCTGTTCTTGAGGGTCACACTAGCAATGCTTCTTAGCAGCAGTTTATTTCTAAAAGAGAATCTGAATCTAGCTTGTACTTTTCCCAACACTCTCACACGGGTCTCACTGCCGCTCCCAGAGGTATCAGCACAGCCAGGCAGTGCCCCCTCCTCAAAGGTCTGAATCCCAGCCCCGGGACCCTCCTCTGAGTCTAGAGACCAGAGCACTCGCTGGCTGGTGCCACTCCTCAAAGATCTGGGTCCTAGGTCCTTTCCCCACTTTGCTCTCAGAATGTTTGGTGGGGCCAGACTTCTTGCATTTGCATGCATGGAATTAAAATTCAGGTCATTGTATTTGTATATTAAAGGTAAGAACATCACAAGAAGGCTGGGGGACTGGGGGACATAATTCAGATTATGTGTTGATTACTCCCAAACCTATATCTGTATGCCAGACATCTTTCCTAGGTTTAAATGGAGAGCCTGTATGTACCTCAAACTCAGAATGTCTAAAATTAAATCATATTCCCCCTTTGCTCAATGAATTTTGACACTATCTACCAGTTCCCTGCAAGAACTATTTTTTTAACCTTCACAAACAGTCTCCAAGTACTGTCAATTTATTTCCTAAACATCTCCTATTTTTCATCTCTACTTTACAACCCTATTTCAGATTCACTGAACTCACTGAATTACTGTGAAACCCTCCTAACTTGTTTTTTTTTTCTTCCAGGCGCTTTCACTTTTAATCAATTCTTGCTAGAGTGTGTATAGCTTTAAAAAAGATAATAAAACATTACAATTTCCAGAACACAGTTCCAGATCTGTCCGGTGACTCTGAAACACTTTTCTACCACTCCAAGTGATTTAAGGCTCTTGTTTTTATCACTAGTTATGAGCAACTAGATGATGTGTCTTGGTGGTGTTTACTTCATGTTTCCTGTGCAATTTCATTCTCTTGGATCTTGAGTTTATAGTTTCCATAGTTTGGACATTTCTTCTGCCCCCCACAGCCCCCACTTTCAGAGACTTCAATAACATGTACATTTGGCTACTTGAAGTTGTCCCTCAACCCATCGATTCACTTTTTTTCTATTATTTTTTCTTCCCGTGTTTTACTTTGTATACCTTCTATTGCTATGTCTTCAATTCACCACTCTTTTCTTTTTCCGTGGCTAATCTGTCATTAATCCCATCCAGTGTATTTTTCATCTCAGTTATTATAGTTTTTCTCTCTAGGGGTTCTACTTAGATCTTTTATTATGTTTTTTATCTTTTCCATGTCTCTACTTAACATTTTGAAAATATGCAATATAGTTACAATAAATATTTTCCTGTTCTCAGCTTCTAATTTTAATAATTGATATCAATTCTGAGTTAGTTTCAGTTAATTGATTATTCTCATTATAGGTTGTGAATCCTAACATCATAGATTAGTTGTGTCTGCTTTTGTGAAACTTACACAAATCTAATCATACCACATATTTTTTTGTATATTTCTAACATTATGTTTGTGAGATTCATCCTTATGGTTTTGTGTAGTTGTAGCTTGTCTATTCTGATAGGAATAGTAAAGCATTGCATTTTGTAAATCTATATTGTATTTAGCCTTTTGTGTCAGAGGTCACCAAGACCACACTCAGGTTCAGTGATTGGCAAGAAAGACTTACAGAACTTGGAAAAGCTGTCGTACAGTTAAACTTTATTATAATGAAAGGATACAGATTGAAATCAACAAAGGGGAAAGTTGCATAGGCCTGAGTCCAGAGGAAACTAGGCACAAGCTTCTAGTTGTCTTCTCCCAGTGGAGTTGCATGGATGGTGCTCAATTTTTCCAGCAAGTCCGTGTAACAGTGTGTGCAAAGTGTTGTCAATCAGGGCAGCCATGCAAGCCTTGGTGTCCTGGGTGTGTTTGCTTTTTTTGTTTGTTTTACTTTCTTTTTCTTTTTCTTTTTTGAGGTCAGTCACGTGGGTACTGTGTATGCCCATATGAATGACCTCAGCTACTCAATCTCCACGCCCTCATAGGTCAAACTGACACATCAGGCTTAAAGGCTCAAGCATACAAAAAGAGGTAATCACATAGGTGTCATTACCAGCTTAAGCTAACTGGCATAGTCCATGGCTTTAGGAGTACAAAAACACTCTTTTCAGGCAGGCTATCCCAAGGGCTCAGAGATCCTCTCCCAGGATCTATGGCAAGGACTAGTCCTGAAGACTTTGGGAATGTGCAGGGTTTAAGTAGGCCAGGCTTGCAGAGTTAACCCTTTCTCACGCAGATGGGCATTTGGGCAGTTTACTTTTTATTCATATGAATAGTCCTTCTGTGAACATTCTTGTATATTTTTTTGGTGAAGATTTGGGTGCATTTCTATTGGGCACTTAGGAATAAAATGGTGGGTCCTAGGATATGCACTTGTCCCATTTTCATAGAGAATACCAAATCGTTTACCCAAGTGACTACACCAGTTTACACTCCCAGCATCAGTGTACAGACATTTTCAAAATTCTCTTTTAAAACACAGTTTTATTGAAGTACATGTGACATACAATAAAGTACATATTAAAATTCATATTGATAAACTTTGACAAATGTATACATCTATAACATTACTACCACAAGCAAAATAGTGAACCTTCATACCTAAAAGTTTCCTTGTAATCCCAATATTCTCCTAATGAATTTGTTTCCTGTTTAAATCAGGCAGAGTCATTTTCTGTTGTTTACAACTGAGACTTCCTAGCTGATATAATCCCATCTTGTATTTATGTTGCACTCACGCCCAGCTTGGTCTGCATTTCTTTTCACTTAAGTAGATTCTTGCTGAGCATCTAGGATGGATGCTAGGCACGTAGCCACTGACCTTTGCCTATGTAAGTTAGTTTGGCTGGATTCCAGATTGCAGCTTTATCCCCAGGACTCTTAGGAATTCCACACATCTTTTTATCCCTGGTCTTTGCACACTGTTCTTCTTAAACTGTCCTGTAGTTCCTGCTCCCACTCCTTCCTGGTTGGCCCAGAACCAAACTTCCCTACGTCCAACTCCAACAGAGGGTTTCCTAGATGGTGAGAGAAAGGGCCCCTCAACTCTTCACTAAGTTGCATAAGCCAGATTTATGACCTCAAAAGATATGTTGGATGAAATTCAGCAACAAATTTGATGCAAAACCAATGTGATGTGTCAAAGGTCTTTTAGAATTTGCTGCAGGCTGAGAGTTATATTTTCCCATTTTAGTGATATGGAAGGATATAGAAGAAAAAAAAGACATGTTGGAGTCCTAACTCCCAGTACCTCAGAATGTGACCTTATTTGGAGATAGGGTCATTATAGAGGTAATCAAGTTAAAATGTGATCATTAAGGGTCAGCCCTAATCCAATACTATCATGAAAAGGGGGAAATTTGGACACAAAGACAGACACCAAGAGAGGGAAGATGATTCAAAGAGACACAGGGAGAAGATGGCCATGTACAAGCCAGGGAGAGGGTCCTGAAACAGACTCTTTCCTCACAGCCCTGAAGAGGAATCAACTCTGCAGACACCTTGATCTTAGACTTCTAACCTTTAGGACTGTGAGGCAGTACATTTCTGTTCAAGCCCCTCCATTTGTGGTGCTTTGTTATGGCCGCACTAGCAAACTAATACAACCAGGTAGTAAGAACCCATTGTGGCCCTTGAGTCAAAAAGTTTGCCCACCCCTGGGTTAGAGGGTAGTGGCTGCTCTTTTGGAAATTGTTATAACTGTCTGTTATAAAAATTGAGGCTGGGGAGAGAAGAATTTGGGAGGAGCAAACTAACCCCAGATTATTTGACTTTGGCCACTCATGGGACCCTGAACACAACTTGGCTACATCACAGAGTTCTGTATTCCTTGTTCTTTTCTCTCCGTTTTCTTAAATGGATACGCATGATTCATTTTTCAACAGCCATCTGTGGGAACACATGGGTTCCTTTAGAGACTGTTAAGGTCTGTTCCACAGTCGAAGGGAGGGGGCGCAATATGGGAATGTTTTTCTGCAAAGTCCTTTTCATGGGAACTTTTCCAAAACCAGAAGATGAATACAGTTTTGAAAAAGGCAGGTATAGCATGTCTTTAAAAGCTCCTCAAAATATTCTCATCACCTTAAACCAGGTCATCTGACAGATTACCATCAAAGAACCTGACTTCCAGCCGAGTCCCTGGAAGGGACTGGATTTTGCTTTACTTATAAAATCTGTGAAGTTCCAGAACTCCTATTTGTCTTCATGGTCAAACTTTTGATTAAAGAGGAAAGAAGCAGGGAGAAAGAGAATGACACAAACAGACAGTACATGGGAAATATTAAATGTATTCGGAGCAAATGATTCATTGCCCTTCCCGTTGAACCTGGCAATAATGAATATAACAAATGTGTCCCTGAGGAGCTTCTTTTCTATTTCAAGCCCTTTCTTAGGCTATTTTCACCCTTCAATCTTCACTTCTTTTTTGGTCATTAGGTATGGATTTGAATATATTTCAGCAAAGCTGCATAAATGACCCATTTGGTTGAGCCTCAGGGAGTCAGATTCCGAGAACTGCTCAGAAGTGAGCATAGTGACATCCCCTCAGGACCTTGTTCTGGTGCCCTTAATGAGTACCTTGGTTTGCTGGAGATCAAAGATCCCTTTCTGCATCGCTGGCCCAACCCCCTTTGCTTCCAGCTAGTGTCACTGCTCTGCCTACAGAGGTTGCTTTTTCTTCTTTTAAAATTGACATAAAATTCACATAAAATAAAAATCATCATTTTATCATTTTTTAAAGTATACATTTCCGTGGTTTTTAGCATGTTCATCATGCCGTGCAACGATCAACACCAGTGCCAGGACATTTTCATCACCCCCAAAAGAAACCTTGCACCCATTTTCTGTCACCTCCCGATTTCTCCATCCCCTCTAGGCCCCAACAATCACTAATCGACTTTCTGCTCCTGTGGATTTGCCTCTTCTGGACATTTCATATACATGGAATCATACAATATATGAACAT